AGTATGTTCATTTCTGTGCACTCAATACTTGGGTTGGGCCTCCTTTTGCATGAATTACTGCATCAATGCGGCGTGGCATGGAGGCAATCAGCCTGTGGTACTGCTCAGGTAGTGTAGCCTACTGACCCAGACTGAGAGACCATTTAAAGGTCCTGAGCAGGTGTTTTGCAGGTGTTTTGAGGTAATTAGCTGATTAGGGTGTGACACCATGACTTTTTAGTCAATATTGAACTTTTTCACAATATTCAAATTTTCTGAGACACTGAATTTTGGGTTTTCATTATCTGTAAGCCATAATCATCAATTTCAAGAAATAAAGGCTTGAAATATTTCACTCTATGTGTAATGAATCTATATAATATATGGATATCAGGACAGGAAGAGAGTCCTGTTTATGAAGGAAGACAGGGTATCTCAATATCAAAGTCAATTAAGTCCTCAGAGTCCTGGCTCAACTCACCCTCAGTGGTGTTGCAGTTGGCGGGGCTTTCCTCCGCACCCCCATTCTCCACAGTTTCATCCATCGTTGTGTGCGCCATTGCCGGCTCTCGCACCTGGTCAGACGGTCAGTTAGGCTCCGGCTCCGGAGCAATCCACAGCACTGTTTCTCTTTCTGGCAATGGCTCGTCGGTCACGGCGGGCTTTGGCTCTCCGTCTGCGGTGGGCTCTGGCTGATGCTCCGCACAGCGGGATGATGGTAGGCTGGGCTCTGGGTCAGGAGTTGGGCTGGCGAGTTCCTCATCAGCATAGAATGCAGTCAGCGGAGAATTGTTACTCATCAGCAACCACTCTACAAAGGTGGCAAGGCTCTCTCAAGGACCATCCCTGGACAACTGCGCTCATGTGGCAGTGTTTAAGCCAACACGGTAGAACATGGTGAGGCAGCTGTCTGGGTAGTGTGTTAAGTTGGCAAGGTTCACAAAGTCTCTCATGTGGTCCTTGAGAGAGCGATACCCCTGTCACGGTACTGTGTTGATGAACACAAAGAAGAAGGTTAACAATCTTTAAAAAATCCACAGGTAGTATATCTACACACAAAAGGAAGGCTTGAAACACATGTAGACGTTGACAAGACTGGACAAAAACAAACTGAACAGATTATAAGTAGATAGACCAATGAGGGATTAATGAGTAAATTAACTACACACAGGTGAACTGACTAACATAATCAAGGGGAAACAGAAACTAGGTCAAGGAACACGAGGAGAGAAAACACAACAACAAAGTCCATAAATGTGATCTAAGGCTCTGTGTATTAAATGCCACTCCATCTGAAGGCATGTGATGGAGATTTACTACTAATTACAGAACCGGCTTTAGATTAGATTAGATTAGATTAGATTCAACTTTATTGTCACTGTGCAGAGTACAAGTACAGAGCCAATGAAATGCAGTTAGCATCTAACCAGAAGTGCAAATAACAGAGTATATAAATAAATATAGATTGTGTATATACATTAAGCTTTATGACATATAGTGCAAGTTATGAGGTAGGAGGGCAGAGACCAGCTCAATGCAAATGACAGTCCATACAACATAGGGTGCAAGGAAAGTATAAACAGAAGGTGTATTATACAGTGAGTATAAACAGAAGGTGCATTATACAGTGAGGTACATAAATAGCGAGTGAAGACTCCTATAACGTCTCCCCGATGGGAGAGGAATGAACAGTCTGTGATTGGGGTGAGAGGAGTCTTTGATGATGCTTCTCACTCTCCTTAGACAGCGTTTGTGGTAAACGTCTTTGATGGATGGTAGCCCAACACCAGTGGTGTATTGGGCAGTTTTCACCACCCACTGGAGGGCTTTCTGGTCCGAAACAGTGCAGTTGCCATACCACACTGTGATGCAGTTTGTAAGAATGCTTTCAATAGTGCAACGGTAAAAGTTCAGCAGGATGTTGGGGGACAGGTGAGCTTCCCTTAGTTTCCTAAGGAAGTAAAGGCGCTGATGTACCTTTTTGATCAGTGTGGAGGTATTGAGGGTCCAGGAAAGATCCTCAGAGAGATGGACACCAAGGAACTTGAAGCTCGCCACTTGAAGCTCGTGGTCCTTCTTAGTTCGCCGGTGGTCAACAATCAGCTCTTTGGTCTTCTGGGTGTTGAGTGCAAGGTTATTGTTGGCACACCATGTTGCTAGATGCTAAACCTCGTCCCTATAGGCCGTCTCATCATTGCCGCTGATCAGGCCTACCACCGTGGTGTCATCTGCCAACTTGATTATGGAGTTAGAGCCATGCACAGGTATGCAGTCGTGGGTGAAAAGGGAGTAGAGGATTGGGCTCAGCACACAGCCCTGTGGTACCCCAGTGTTTAAAGTGAGGATGGAGGTGGTGTGGTTACTGATCCTAACAGACTGTGGTCTGTTGGTGAGAAAGTCCAGGGTCCAGTTACAGAGGGAGGGGCTGATGCCAAGATCACAGAGCTTGGAGATCAGCTTGGATGGGATCACAGTATTGAAGGCGGAACTGAAATCAATTAATAGCATCCTGACATATGTGTTGGTTCTGTCCAGGTGCGTCAAGGCAAAGTGGAGAGCTGAGGCGATGGCGTCATCCGTTGACCTGTTGGATTTGTAGGTGAACTGGTATGGGTCCAGTGTTGGGGGCAAGCATTTTTTCAGGTGGGAGAGGAACAGTCTCTCAAAACACTTTGCAATAATGGGAGTAAGAGCAACTGGGCGGAAGTCATTGAGGGCCACTGCACCAGCATGTTTTGGTACGGGTACAATGGTAGTTGTTTTAAAGCAGTTGGGAACAATGGCTTGGGCCAAAGAGAGGTTGAAAATGTTGGTGAAGACCTCTGTCCACATGCGCAGAGGGTCGTTGTTTTTAAATCTGTCCTCAATGCGCAGTTTGTAGTTGTATTTAGCAGATTGAATTCCTCTCTTCAGATTGGACCTGGATAAGCTGTAGGCTTCACAGTCACCAGATTTGAAAGCAGCGTCACGTGCCTTCAGTAGGAGCCGGATTTCCTTGTTCATCCAGGGTTTCTGATTGGGGTACATTTTAATTACTTTATGGGTGTTACCTTGCCAACACATTCGTTGATATGATGCAGAACAGAGCTGGTGTAGGTATTAACATCTGTGTGGAAGTCCAGTGTGGCCAGAGAAGCAAATAAATTCCAGTCTGTGTTCTGGAACTCTTGCTGTAGTGAAGAGTCTGCTTCTTCCAGCCAAACTTTAACAGCCCACCCCTCTAGCTCAATCACGCTATTTGGAATGGTGCTACTGAGCCAAGTTTCTGTGAAAACCATAACGTTGCAGTCTATAAACATTCGCTGAGTGATCCGAAGTCGTAGCTCATCAATCTTGCTTGCCAGAGATCGTACGTTAGCGAGGAAGATGCTTGGTATCGCTGGACGACGCGGGTTGAGCTTTAGCTTAGCCCGCAGGCCGCTCTGCTTACCCCGTATTTGTTTACGTTCGCAGCGCCGACGACGGGCACTTCCTGTCGGATTGGCTGATTCACTCGAGCCCGGAGACCGGAGTAATTCGGGAGGTAGTAGATGAAGATCTAGTGTTGTATCCACATCTGTGTTTGTGAAGCACAGTTTGATATCCAATAGTGTGTGACGGTTGTAAGAGGTTAATGCGTAGCTATGTTGAACAACTGCGCTGAAAATAACTAGTAAAATAAGAAGTAATTTGCAAAAACTGGAGAGACGCTGAAACTCGCGCTGTTCAAGCGCCACCATCTTGGTTCATTACTTACGAGATGCGCATGACAATCGCATGACAATCGCATTTGTTTTATCGTGCAGCCCTAAAAAATGAATAATTTTGACGGCATTGATGAACCTGTGATGGTTTCTGCGGTGGGGAAGAAACGTAAGCTATTAATAAGATTAGCATTGACCAAGTTCAGAGGCTGTCATATATGGATCAACTTACTTTGTTGTGTATTTTCAACAGTTTCAATATGAAAAATAACTTTTATATTGATTCAATGGATTTATTGCATTTTGGGGAAAAAATTATCAGTTTTTATAAATCTTTGAAAATCAAAATCTGGATTTGAATTTTTAATGTTATTATAACCTAAAGTAGTGTCACGTGTTTGTTTCTGTTTAGTTCCTGTCTGCCCTTATTTGGTTCAGCTCCTGTTCTCATTTAGTTAATCATCGTTTATTCATATCACCTGTTGCATTCATCTCGTTTGCTCCTTAGTTTGCCTGTCCTTATAAGCCCTCAGTTTCTGTCTATTCTTTGTGCTGGATTAATGTTATTTTCAACGGTCCAAGTGTGTTGATGTTTATTAAAGACTCCTTCTTCGTGCACCTTTTCTACAACCATGACCGCGTGACATAAAGATGCTTTGTGAAAATTTGAAACAGAAAATAGTGCTTTTCATCTTGCCACTTTCTTGGTAAAGAAAACACATTTTTACTCAAATTAATCAAAATGGATTTATAGCATTTTGGACCCTAACTCTTCAAGTGTTTCTAAACAAATCAGTTATATTATATTAACACGTTTACTGTATAGATTATTAGTTAGAGATTTTGAGAAACACTGTGCTGTACCTGATGTATATCCAAGTGGATCAAAATTGAATCGAATCGAGATCAGAATTGAATCACATCACAACCTTGTAATCAAATTGTCACTTTGTGTCAGTAGTCAGCCCTATAGGACTAATTCTTATTTATATCAATGACAGCAATTCAGATCATGGGTGTTCACTTCCAGGGATTTTTTTTATTAAATTATTAATTTTTCATCTTTGTCATTAGATAAATGGCATTGCTTTCATTTATATGGTCTTATGGTCTTTTTTATTTAAACCGTACTTTTATAAGCTAAATAATTAATGAGTAATGGACAAACCATGTAACTTATGACTGCATGACTGCATAATTTTGAATGAGCGCTTGATTGTCATTTGCTGCCCTTTGATGATGTGGGAGGGTCAGAAAAGAGGATGGAGAATTTTTAAAGGCCTGTCTAGACTAAATAAAACCGCATTTTATAGGTTCTAGTTTTCTGAAACTGAGAGGATGGATTTATCACAAGAATACGATCTCACTCAGTTTTGTTTTCCTGCAGTGAACAACTCTTGTCTTAGAGGGACACATCATGTTTCCACTCAGACTGTGGTGTATCTCCTATTGGTGTCTGCGATGACTGTGACCATTCTAGGAAATTCGGTGGTCATCATCTCCATTGCACACTTCAAACAGCTCCAGACTCCCACTAACATCCTGGTGATGTCTCTGGCTCTAGCAGATCTGCTGCTTGGACTGGTGGTCATGCCTTTCAGTATGATCCGTTCTGTGGATGGCTGCTGGTACTATGGAGATGCCTTCTGTTTGCTGCACTCAAGTTTTGACCTGTTTCTCACATCAGTGTCTATTTTTCATCTCATTTTTATTGCTATTGATCGACATCAGGCAGTTTGTTATCCACTTCAGTATCCTGCAAGAATAACCATACCTGTTGCATGGGTCATGGTGATGATAAGTTGGGCTCTGATTGCCATCTATTCATATAGTCTGCTGTACTCAGAGGCTAATGTGGAAGGACTGGAGGAATATATTGAATCAATATACTGTATAGGACATTGCAGTCTGCTTTTCAGTTGGATCAACTTACTTTGTTGTGTATTTTCAACAGTTTCAATATGAAAAATAACTTTTATATTGATTCAATGGATTTATTGCATTTTGGGGAAAAAATTATCAGTTTTTATAAATCTTTGAAAATCAAAATCTGGATTTGAATTTTTAATGTTATTATAACCTAAAGTAGTGTCACGTGTTTGTTTCTGTTTAGTTCCTGTCTGCCCTTATTTGGTTCAGCTCCTGTTCTCATTTAGTTAATCATCGTTTATTCAGATCACCTGTTGCATTCATCTCGTTTGCTCCTTAGTTTGCCTGTCCTTATAAGCCCTCAGTTTCTGTCTATTCTTTGTGCTGGATTAATGTTATTTTCAACGGTCCAAGTGTGTTGATGTTTATTAAAGACTCCTTCTTCGTGCACCTTTTCTACAACCATGACCGCGTGACATAAAGATGCTTTGTGAAAATTTGAAACAGAAAATAGTGCTTTTCATCTTGCCACTTTCTTGGTAAAGAAAACACATTTTTACTCAAATTAATCAAAATGGATTTATAGCATTTTGGACCCTAACTCTTCAAGTGTTTCTAAACAAATCAGTTATATTATATTAACACGTTTACTGTATAGATTATTAGTTAGAGATTTTGAGAAACACTGTGCTGTACCTGATGTATATCCAAGTGGATCAAAATTGAATCGAATCGAGATCAGAATTGAATCACATCACAACCTTGTAATCAAATTGTCACTTTGTGTCAGTAGTCAGCCCTATAGGACTAATTCTTATTTATATCAATGACAGCAATTCAGATCATGGGTGTTCACTTCCAGGGATTTTTTTTATTAAATTATTAATTTTTCATCTTTGTCATTAGATAAATGGCATTGCTTTCATTTATATGGTCTTTTACACAATTTTATTTAAACCGTACTTTTATAAGCTAAATAATTAATGAGTAATGGACAAACCATGTAACTTATGACTGCATATTTTCTTAATTTTGAATGAGCGCTTGATTGTCATTTGCTGCCCTTTGATGATGTGGGAGGGTCAGAAAAGAGGATGGAGAATTTTTAAAGGCCTGTCTAGACTAAATAAAACCGCATTTTATAGGTTCTAGTTTTCTGAAACTGAGAGGATGGATTTATCACAAGAATACGATCTCACTCAGTTTTGTTTTCCTGCAGTGAACAACTCTTGTCTTAGAGGGACACATCATGTTTCCACTCAGACTGTGGTGTATCTCCTATTGGTGTCTGCGATGACTGTGACCATTCTAGGAAATTCGGTGGTCATCATCTCCATTGCACACTTCAAACAGCTCCAGACTCCCACTAACATCCTGGTGATGTCTCTGGCTCTAGCGGACCTGCTGCTTGGACTGGTGGTCATGCCTTTCAGTATGATCCGTTCTGTGGATGGCTGCTGGTACTATGGAGATGCCTTCTGTTTGCTGCACTCAAGTTTTGACCTGTTTCTCACATCAGTGTCTATTTTTCATCTCATTTTTATTGCTATTGATCGACATCAGGCTGTTTGTTATCCGCTTCAGTATCCTACAAGAATAACCATACCTGTCGCATGGGTCATGGTGATGATAAGTTGGAGCATAGCTGCATTATATTCTTATGGCTTAGTGTATTCAAAAGCTAATGTAGAAGGACTGGAAGAATACAGTGATTCAATATACTGTATGGGAAGTTGTACTTTGCTTTTCAATGCATTGTGGTCAGTTTTAGACACATTACTAACTTTTTTCTTGCCTTGTTCTGTCATGATTGGACTGTATGCAAGAATATTTGTAGTTGCAAAAAAGCACATTAGAACAATTGGTGAGGCAAACCAGCATGAAAATGAGAATATGTTTAAAACCTCTCGACGGTCTGAACGCAAAGCAGCAAAAACTCTCGGTGTGGTAGTGGGTGCTTTTATTATTTGCTGGTTGCCATTTTTTATTAACTCTTTGATGGATCCTTATATCAACTTTTCCACTCCTTTTGTTCTCTTTGACACATTCGGCTGGTTAGGCTACATTAACTCAACCATAAACCCCATAATATATGGCCTTTTCTACCCATGGTTTAGAAAATCTCTTTCTCTCATTATAACAATGAGAATATTTGAACCAAACTCATCTGATATAAGTGTATTCACTGTTTGATTCCATTTTCATATGTGCAGCACACTGATAGTTTGTAACCTTTGTAAATCACATAAATTAAAAAAAGTGTAAAATCAGATGCTTAATCTGTGCAAAATTAAATGGTGATCTAAAATCAGATCTCTGGCACACTTCTGATGTTAAATACACATTGCATGCAAATGATGGAAAAACTTAAAATCTGATTTGATGATTCAAACATTTTTCAAATGTATATTTTATTCAGTTTTTAGTGTACAAAAGCGGTATGCTGAAGCTTTCATATAGGTTTTTATACATTATTTCTTTCCAGCCAAAGAAGATCTTTAAAAGCCATCCAGGAGAAAGTCATCCCTTTGTGTTTTTGTTCCTCTCAGTGGTATTTGCTTTGAAATACATGATCTTCTTGCTGCCATCTTTGCTCATGTGTTCAGTTCCAGATTTTTTTTATTAGATTATAAGGCTGAAGATGTAAATTGTAGTTTACACATACACGGTTACCTTGATAAAGTGGAAAAAATGAAATGTGTATATTGTTTTTTGTTGTTGTTGTTTTAAAGGGGAGGTTTATGAATTGGGCCCAATACATCTTTAATGTTCAGGGCAAAAATAAGACTGAAGGTTAATTTTTCAACCAATTTTTTTTGGACAAACCAGTACACTCTCAGAAAAACGTACAAGCTGTCACTGGGCAGTACCCTAAACTACAAAAGCCCAAAGGTACATATTTATATCTGATTTACCCGTAAATGGTACATTAGTGTCTTTAAAGCACATGTGTCAAACTCCAGTCCTGGAGGCAATGGCGGAGTCAGTGGCCAGGGAGGGGCCAGCAACCAGTCTGGGGTGGCACAGAAATCTTAATTATTTCAATATAAAAATGTGACTATAAAGTATTGGACTGTTTTAGTGCCTAAGACACAACTGAATACAATTAATTTCTACTAAATTGTAATTGAGATATTTGTGAATTTGATCAAGTAATGCTGAATGAATATAACAATGTGTGTATTACTCCCCTCCTCCAGGTATTTTAATAAAGGGGCTCACTATAGCTTTATTGCTCAGTCAGCTTGGTTCTGGTTCTCAAAACCCTCAAAAGCTTGTTCTCCATCATTGCATACTCACTGATGAGACATGCAGATAGTGATAAGAATTGGTTAATAAAAAAAAGTAAAAGAAAAAGAAAAAAAGGCCGGAAGTCAACAGCACATAAATGCCAGAATGTAAAATTAGTTATTTTATGCATTTAAATGGTTTCATTTTCATTTGTAAAAAAAAAAAAAAAATTCTATTTAGAGCACTGTGTTCATATTAACTTGTGCATTAAATTACAAAAAAACAAAAAACCATCAGCTTGCGCCTTATAATTGTGATCTCGAATTGCACAATATGAGAGACGTTCTTTATGTGATGCTATACATACATTAATCCACTAATCGCCTTTTTGGTAATTTCATGGCTTAACTGACAACAGAACTACATTGTATGTTCATAGTTTCTTGTTAGCTTTATTTATGATGAACCAATATAGAGCGTGCGCCTTATATTCGCGTACAGTTGAAGAGTGTGCGCCGTGAGCACGGTAAAACAGCTGTCAGGACAGGAAAGTTTGTTTTACTGACATATAGCTTAACAACATCTTACCAGAACGCAGTTCACTGTTGTTCTACTGAAGCTCATTTGGCACATGTTCCTTAAAGGTGTCATATGATGCTGCTAAAAAGAACATTATTTGATGTATTTGGTGTAATGAAATGTGTTTATGTGGTTTAAGGTTCAAAAAACACATTATTTTCCACATACTGTACATTATTGTTTCTCCTCTATGCCCCGCCTTTCTGAAACGTGTCGATTTTTACAAAGCTCATCTGTCTGAAAAGCGATGTGTGCTCTGATTGGCCAGCTATCCAGTGCGTTGTGATTGGCCGAATACCTCAAGCGTGTGACGGAAATGTTATGCCCCTCACATACTGTTGATGCCCTGTCCGGCCGCAGCGACGAGACAAAAACATGAAAACCCATTATAAACGAGGCATTCATTGCATCCAGTGGGGACATAATTATGGGTTATAATGACTTATACTGTCTTTTTACGCATTGCGTTGCATCGCGCCGCGTAAACATAAAACCATGTGACCCTTAACTTTTATAAAGAATATCTCTTTGGATTTGAGACTTTAGTCTTTGCAACTTTACAGATTTTCTTTATGCACCAAGAGCTTGTAACACTCCAAAGAGAAAGGAAAAATTGAAATCGCATCATTTGAACCCTTTAATTTCTGCGCTCGTTTGACTTGCGCCTGGTGCCGAGGCGAAGTTGAAGTACGCGTTTGAAAAGTCTCCCGTTTGATGTGGTCAGAAAGAGATACAGTGGTTCCGCGCCTTAAAGGCACAATATATAATTTTTGCCGCTAGAGGGCGCGTATTCAAAATAAACAAATAGACAAAGGCGAAATTTGATGACGCCATGACTGAGTGTGGAATCATGGGAGTTGTCGTCTTCATCCCCACAGCCGATGCAATCCGACGGGACTCGGGCAGAAATCATGTTCATGGATGAGCTAATGATTTATTAACTTAGTAGAATGAAGCAGGGTGAGGCTGAAAGCCGTCGAAGCGAAACGCGGCCGCTGAACGAGCGTGACACACGACTCGAAAGCAGCGGAGCTTTTATTATGCCACAGTCAACTGCTTCCGCTCCGTCCGGACGTGTGTATGTGCGGGGGGGGGGGGGCAGCGCTGTTTTATCATACTAGATACATTTGAAAGTTCTGTTATTATGCTACTCTGCGCGGTCGTCACCGGTCTATAAAAACGCACAACATATTAAAGCGTCTTCGTTGTTTCCATGTTTTCTTACATTTTGTGCCTTTAATAAATGCATTTCTTGTCAAGAAAAAAAGGGACAAAAACTGCTTTGAGTGGGGTGGCCAAGCTTAGGTCAGGATGGCCACCCCCTGGCTCCGCCCCTGCCTGGAGGCCATTGTCCTACAGAGTATAGCTCTAACCAGCTCCAAAACACCTGGAAGTTTCTAGTAATCGCGAGAACCTTGGCTGTATACAAAATCACATAATCTCTTGAGTAGGTACTTTTTTGAATATGTAAATACTTCACAACTGCAAAAAAGAATACATTCTATATAGTATGAATGTGTGTAGTATGAATGTGACACTTCTTTTGTCACATACTGTTTTTCACTTATATAGTTGGGAAGTATGCGGTTTTGGATACAGCCCTTGATTAGCTGGTTCAGGTGTGTTTGATTAGGGTTGGCAAAACTCTGCTGGACAGTGGCCCTCCAGGAA